CACGCTACCAGCTGAATGATAACTTTTAAAGACAGTATTTTAGATGAGAAGGAAGAGCACTTGAAGATAAAAGAGAATGGCAGCGGTGGGATTCGAGGACCACGTTACCACGATTATCATGTAAATGCTGGTTGCTTACCGTTTTATTTACTTTAGAAAGGAAAAAAGAACGTTCTTCTTCTGGCTTCCAAGAAGACTGGACCTCAACTGGATACTCATTTTGACCAAGGATTCGATCAACTAAAAACAAAAAAACGTGAATTATTGTATTTYTTTTGGCTTAGCCAAGGGTAGGTACGGGGGCAATGTATGGAAACGCTATTTTATGAAATTCCTTCTTCTTATCATTATTTAAACTATATATTTACTTGGACTCTCGTATTCTTTCTTCCTCTCTATTCCACCCCAATTAATTTGTGCGCATTAATTTTTCTTGCAAATGAATGCGTCCTTTGAYACCACCATGGGTTTACCATTGAAGGAACGTTGTGGTCTCTCGCTTTTCCTCTGTTGCACCTCAACTATATCGTGCGCACAGTCTCTTTGCAAATATAGAGGTTTTGAACCATCATTAATAGACCAGTTTCGAATTCCAAATTACCGTTGTTTTCCTTGATTACAGACTCATATGCACAGGGTTAGCCTCGTATCAGTGTCTAAATATTCACAAATACCAACAGTAAGGTAAAGAATGCACAACTTCAACATTACAAACACTTTGAAACTCGACGGACCTTGACTGTAACACGTGAATATTCTGCACAAACTCGAGGCTAACCMTGTGYAAATGAGTCTGTAATCAAGAAACACAGCGGTAATTTGGAATTCGAAACGGGTCTATTTGCCGATGCCTATAATACAGCTTGGGCAGCCTGTGGTTAGATGGCAGAACAATAAAATCTTTTTTCTTCTCGGAAATTAAATTCTTTCTCGCGTAAAACGATTGCAATTTTTTCCGCTGCCATCTAACACGGCTGCCTTGACGCGATGGTGCAAAACCTATATAGCCAATGTCGTTTACCAGCTAGTGAAGGAAGTAGGTGTTTCAAGTACCTTCAAAGTTTGGAGATCCTTCTCGCAGCACGAAATTCTCAGGATGTTCGTCACTCTTACACGCATTGATGATTAGCTTGATGAGCTCTTGAGATGTGGTGCATCTAGCGATGAATATAGTCTTGAAGGTCGACTGGAAAGCGAATGCGTTTTTAGTTAATCCATTATATGCGAATAAGCCATAATAAAAAATTGCAAAGAAAAAAAGGTATTTCTATAAAGGATACCGGGCTAACTAGATACGCACGGCGATAAAGTGCCTAGTGAAGAAAATATTCCAAGGCAATAATCTGTATTCATTCATTGGCAGAAGTACGTATACACCTATTTCAAAAAACGTTGTCATCGCCAAAGGCGATAGGTAATAGGCGATAGGCGAAAATCGATAAGATATATGTCATTCCAAGATCCAAGAATAGCTGGAATGACTTGTGCTTCTTCTTCTTYTCTTCAAGAGTATTGACCTTCGTGCTGAGACTGATTCGATGTTCTTTGCATTCAAAGAAACCATTTCCATGTCGAAATGACCTATCGCCTATCGCCTTTGGCGATGACAACGTTTTTTGAAATAGGTGTATAACACGACTTCTGGCATATGGCTATTTAGTTTCCATATGTTGTCTTTTGACGAAGTAGCAAGGTGACACATAGCGTCAGAGCCTTGGTAATAATAATACTATGTATTCTCGACTTACCCCTGGAATTAGAATGTTCGTTCTCACTCGAACCAGCCCGCCGCTTTTCATTTTTAAATGGAATCTGCAAAACGAGCAGTAAGAATACCATATTCGAGTGAATTTTGCATAACTAGGAAGAAATAGCAGCATATATTATGATATATGTGTATGAGAATATATATGAAATATTTATATTATGATAGATATTATATATATATATTATGATAGACGACCACGCGTATGTATTACAACTATTGTTGACGGGAATCGCATCGAGAGAGTTATACTCTGCAATCTAAATGTAATAATAGCAGTCGAAACCTTCGTGCCGCGAGATACCTTGAACTTTCTGTAACATGTCTTTTTTAGAGGGAGGGATGCGCGTTGAACAAAGGATTTTTGGGAACACTGTGCCTTGTTTTCATCACGCATGATCATCCCAACACTTTACCTTCAGAAACTTCCATTTCAAGAAAAAAATCTAACATTTTCTTGACAGTGCTAGCGCATGAGGGAAAAAATGCAGCGTGTATATATGCACCCTCATGACCAGCAAGCATGCTACACTGATGATACTCACTTGGTTTCTCCCTGTGGTTGACATGCTTGAAGTTCAAGAGGTCGAGCATCGTCCTCAAGCACAATCATTTGGGATATAGGAAGCCCAGAATCTAAAAATAAGACATAAAACGACTGTGAGCTCAGAGATAAACAAGCTGCTCAACATCGGGCTCCATGGTTCCAGCTTCTTGCTTCTGTTATGCGGGAGGTCTATAGAAGAACCCCATTATTATTATTATTATTATTATTATTATTATTATTATTATTATTTAGATTTCTGGTCAGTTAAAAAATGCGTACGCATGCGCTACATCCAACCGGCTGATGAGAGAGAACATTTTAGCCAATCAAAATCGAGAAAACTTGCAAAACTGAGATGTCACTTTACTTGTCACCAAATTGAAAAAATAACGTTGTTAATAAGAGGTTGATACAGTTGCACAATTATGAGTTTTATATTTTTATTGCAATGGCGGGTATGTTGTTATTTTTCACAGGCTTCATGTCACCTTAGTTTTGCAGTGACGTCATTTCTAAAAAGTACGATGAAAGGGGGGGAGGGGTGGGGAACGAAAACGCATGCGTTACTCACCTTTGCTTTTTATTCCTGTTTCCATTGCGAGGTAAAACAGGTTCGGATCCTTTGAATGTGCATAGTAATCCTTTAGAACAGTGTTGACCAACTCTTTGCTTTAAAGTAAAAGTAATTAGTTTATCAAACTCAATGTCAGTAGAAATCAAACGATGTTCTAGGAAAGGCTCGAACGTGCGGAGCAGAGCGAGGGGGGGGGGGGGGGGGGGGG